TCCCTTAAATATGTTGTGTCTCTTTTCCTTGATTTTCTCCCTCGCACCTCCCATGTTTTCTCCATTTCTTCATCCTGTCAGGAGTTTTGGCGCACAGACGGCCGATGTGTTTTTCAGGCCATTGGCTGGGATCCGAATGTGGTCAGGTCAGCTGTGTGCAATCCTGCTCCCTTAACCACTAGGCCCTGGGTTCTCTCTTGTTTTTTTTTTTTTTTTTTTTTTATAGGGACTTTGTTTTGTGTCTCGCATACTGCCTTTGCTATAGGGCACATGCGCTCGCCAGACAGACAGAGAGAGACATAGAGACAGAAAGGGAGAAATCACCCCCCAGGGGGGATGGCCACGCCGCAATCCCTTCTCCTCCATTCTCCTCTCGGGATCTTGGGCACGCACGCACAAGCGCCCAGCATGAGTTTTAAGCCACCGGGTCCAGGACGCAAACCGTGGTTGACTACATGGGAGTCCAGCGACATAGCCATTACGCTAACTGCTGGTCCCCCTGGGTTCTCTTTTATAAGCGCACTAATCCTATCTGTGAGAGCTTTAACTTCCCAAAGGCTCCACCTCTATTTTTTTCCACATATTTATCATTTTTTATTGTAAGAACTACTCTCAGCAATTATAAAGTATGCAATACGTGATTGTTAACTATGATCACCATACTGTGCAATAACTCTCCTGAATTTATTTATCCTATCTGAAAACTTGTACAACTTCTGCCCATCTCATAATCCCGCTCCTTGGGGTTAGAGTTTTAATGTAAGAGTTTGGATAGGTGTGGAACATGAACAGCCGGTCCCCAACACATGCCAGTGGTTTCCAAGTCCATGTCTCTAGCCCATTCTTACCCTGAGCACCACACCAAGTTGTCACCTACCTGGTATGGTAGGCCTGAAATAACTCACTAGACACTTGTAGAATTAATGGCTATTTATAATCTATGTCCCTTCCTCCCTAAACTAACCCTTCCTCTGTAGTCTGTTTTTGTTTGTTTGTTTGTTTGTTTAATATATGCCAATATGCCAGAGCATCTTTGACCCATTCAGTTTTTCTGCCCTGTACATTGATCCCACAGTTACCAAGAGCTGTCCAGGTCTGGAAGAAGAAGTAGTTGGAATGCACTGGCCCCTCCCTGACACTGGCTTTTTTTTATTTTATTTATTTACATTTATTTATTTATTTACGTTCATTCACTGTACATCATTACAGCATACAAAATGAGATTTTCCATCCAGAGTACACTGTATATTGTCTCAATCAAGCACATCAACAAACATGTTATTGTCAGCAAATAATTTTCCATTTCTTGTTTCCTGTATGTTTTGCTCCTCCCCATCCTTGATTCCCTATCTCTTACCCTCTGCCATCTCCCACTCTCCTCCCACACTGTCTCTGGTATCTATGTTTACTTTCTATATTGTTTCCCCCCACATTTTATTGAATTACTAAAGATATTAATTAATCTAAATATTTTCATAGCAAACACAGCTGATAAATACATTTCCATGAACACAAGTCTAACTTTAGGCATCCTTTAAAGTAGCACCTAGCTGGGGCTATATATCTTACTGCGGTCATCGAATGGATTTTTTTTCTGAAACTTTTCTTTTTTTTTGTAACTTGATTTACATTTTTTATACAAAATGTGATTTCCCATCCAGAATATACTGCATAGTGACTTAATCATGCATATTATTATAAAAAATTTTCCATTTATAATTCCTAGAATTTTTTACTCCTCTTTCTGATCCTCTGTCCTTTCCCACCCTCTTCTCACACTATCTCTGGTGTCTACAATT